TTATCTAACCGGTGAGCTCAAGATTAACATCACTCCCGGGAAGAAAATTACTCAGTGTCACTACGTGTTGGTTCAAGTTCTCAAACACTGACATTAAGATCAACTCATTTGTATTGCTCAGACCTTACTCTTTTTCCTTTCCTCTTTAAATTTGTGGGGGATTGTTGGAAAATTAAAGATGAAGCAGCCATATGTTTAATGTTGTGGCTAGCATTGTAGAGTGGACGGCGCCTCATGCGCTCATCATATAGATAGCGCGTATTGTGCTAGTTTGTGGACGGTATACGTCCTTCCACTTTTGTGGAAGGGATGGGGGGGCTGCTTACTATAAATAGCAGCTCCCAACATCGTTTCAAAAGACACCTTGAATTCGAGTCATTTATTCGATTCTCCTTCTCCCTCGCGTCGTCTGAGCAATAGTGAGGTTCGCCTACGCGATTACTAGTGCAAGCTATCCGTAGTAGGTCTGTGTAGCCGGTCGAAAGCGTGCCAGGGTTCTAACTGCACCGTTACCGGGCAAATAACGCTTTTAAGGTAGTGTTATTATAACACGGCACAGATTTTCTTTCTACCATACATCCGTAGTGTCCGTGCGTCTTAAAAGGCTTCCAGATCGCGCGTTGGCGTTGCAATTTTCCCCAACACTCTGTGCTTCCAACCGATTAACCATAGTTGCTAGTTGGCCCATTTGTCTTTCCAAGATTTGAATACTAGCATTTGTTTCTTGAATACTAGCCTTTGTTTCTTGACGGAATATTTGTGTTTCTTGTTGAAACTGCAAAGTGTTAGTAGCAAGAGATTTAACAATATCTTCTAGATTCATACTTGAGCTAGAGCTTTGGGTTGGTTGTTGTCTTGAAGGAAATGGTTGTCTGTACTGCTGAAAATTGGAACGATTCTGAACAAACTGGTTCCCTTGTGAGTTCCCATAGCTAAGGTTTGGGTGATCCCTCCATCCAGGATTATATGTATTGGAGAACGGATCATACTTACCTTGAGGTTGTCCAGGAAAACCTCCAGCCATGTTAACTTGTTCAATAGGTTCTTCTTGAAGAGTTGGGCAGGCATCAGTTTGGTGTCCAACTACCGAGCAAATTCCACATGCTTTTACAGTTTGCATATTGCCTACTGCTAATTGACGGACAAGAGTAGTTAAACCAGAAATTTGTTGTTCAAGAGCAGAAATATTTACCTCATTCACTTGCTTAGACGGTTGGACTATTCTATTGCCAAACTGTTGAGAATTTGCAGCCATGTTCGCAATTAGAGTTCTTGCAGCGTCTGGTGTCTTGTCAACTAAAGCACCACCGCTTGCGGCATCAATCATGCTTCTATCCATTGGAAAAAGTCCTTCATAAAAGTATTGAATGAGTAATTGATCACTAATTTGATGGTGTGGGCAACTTGCACATAGTTTCTTGAAACGCTCCCAATATTCATACAGGGACTCTCCATTATTTTGCCTTATACCACAAATTTCCTTTCTAATGTTGGCCGCCCTTGAAGCTGGGAAATATTTTTCAAGGAATAGTGTCTTTAAGTTATTCCATGTGGTGATGCTTCTAGAAGGTAGATAGTGTAGCCAATCTTTCGCTGAATCTTTCAATGAAAAGGGAAATGCTCTCAACTTGATTTGTTCCTCAGTAAACCCCAGTGGGTTTCATACTTGAACACACCACATGGAATTCCTTTAAGTGCTTGTGAGGATCTTCGCCTGCAAGTCCATGAAAAGAAGGCAAAAGATGAATTAATCCAGATTTCAATTCGAATTGTACATTAGCATCCAGAGCGGGAAAGGTGATGCATAAAGGTTGCTGATCCAAATTTGGAGCTCCAAGCTCTTTTAAGGTCCGATTTTGAGCCATGGGTTCCCCTTCTGAATCAGAATTGTTGGAAGGATGAGGGTCGGTAGCCAGATCACTAAACTCCAATTTCCTCAAAGCTTGTTTCTTCCACCTGCGTACAGTTCTTTCAATTTCCGGATCGTACGGCAAGATTTTTTGATTAGCAGATCGAGTTATAGGCATAAACAAAAAAAAAAATATTGCAGCAATTATGTAAAGGTAACGAAAGAAAATGTTTTTTTTTTTAAATTTTTATGGTACAAATTAACGAGAAAAACAGATGAACAAATAAATAATTAAATAAACATAAAATAAACAAGAAAAGCTCCCCGGCAACGGCGCCAAAATTTGGTGAGCTGTCGTAGGCTTCCAAATTAAAACCATACAAACGTAGTAGCGGGAGTAAGGATCGATCCCATGAGGAGTAACTAGTTTAACTTTTGTGCTCAAATTAAAGGTAGGGGGTTTGGAATATATCGAGAGTAAAGATAAAATAAAAGAGAATTTAAATAAACAAGAAATTTAATTGAACGAATAAAGCAATGAAAATAATATATCGAAAACACTTATAATAGGAGACCTTGGTTAGTAAAGATCCACCACCGGAATTCAACACTGATCATTGATTAATAAAGTAATTAATATGCAATTGAATATTTGTCGTGAAATTATTTCATTTCTGTTTTCCCTTAGTTGTAGGTAAATAAAGCACAAGCGGTTTAATTACCCCTAACTACTAAATAATCTAAGACAAGCGCTATAGATTTAATTTAGTAGCAGCAATAGGAACTTGGAAAACCGACAAACTAAATAACACAAGCACAAGCGGTTGCATTTAATTTAGGAAAATATTCTACCCGAGACCAATTATCACTAAGCCGTCAATAATTAACCTCAGTTGCTACTGAATATTAGAATAATTTGTAGCACAACATTATCTAATATAGCAAATAATTATATCAAATAAATAACTAGTAGGCCTCCCTAGCAATTAAATGATACAACTATTCAAATAATTTAGAAGAATATTTAATACTCAAAATGCATAAAAACATATATATAATAAAGTTAAATAAATAACCTTACAGCGTTATGAACTCCGGGGCTTCAATTCACTAAACCAACTAGAAATTAGCCACAAATGGACATTGATAACAACTTCAACGAATACTATAGAAGAGGGAAGAATGAACATTTTACAATAAAACACTTACACTATTTATACACTTTCTAAATGAAACCTAATGAACTTTCACCACACATTTCCTATTGTTCAGCTTCACGTCCGAATGCCAGCTGCTTTGCTCCGCAAAAATCGGTCATTTCAATTAGTGAATTGAGCTTTTCCATTTGCTTTGCATCGATTTGGACCAAAAAAAAAAAACTTAATGTTATATATATATATATATATATATATATATATATATATATATATACTTGTTAGACTGCACAGTACGTAATATATAAATATATTATAGTATGTATTCTATTATATACTATATATTATGTATTATATATTATATATAAAAAGAACTAATTATAAGATAATATTAAATAATTAATGCAAAATTATTATAAAGATGTACCTAAAATATGAGTGTAAAATATACCTATCAGCAATCCACAGACAGATCGGGAAGTGGTGGACATGGTGTCCAGTAAGAAGCCAAACTTTGTATTTTTGATTGAGACAATGGTGAAGAGTGATCATGCAGAAAGGTTACGTGTCAAGTTGGGGATTGAGGGGGTGTTTTATGTGGATCCAGTCCGTAAGCGAGGAGGTTTGGCGTTATTGTGGAGGTATAATAACACTGCAAGATTGATTAGTTACTCCAAGAATCATGTGGATGTGGAGGTAACGGTAGAAAGTCACCCCCCGTGGCGAATGACGTGTTACTATGGGTTTCCCCAAAGATCTAGAAGGCGGGAGTCGTGGGACCTGCTGAAAAGGTTATCAACGCAATCCACGCTACCTTGGGTTGTGATTGGTGACTTTAATGATATCCTTTTCCAGTTTGAAAAGCGTGGAACTAATCCACACCCGGAGAGTTTGCTAAGAGGGTTTGGAGAGACTCTTGATTCATGTGGTTTGTTACAGCTGCCTATGGAGGGATACCCGTACACTTGGGAGAGGGGTGAGGGTACGGAAGACTGGGTTGAGGAAAGGTTTGATAGGGTGGTGGCAACTATGGAGTGGCGTGAGCTGTTAGTGGAGGCCAAGACTGTTAATACTCACGCGCAAATCTGATCACTCGACAATTTTCCTGAGTATTTCTAATCCGATAAGTTATGGAGGGGGCGGTAGGCGGGCCTTTCGCTTTGAGATGGCTTGGCTCCTTGATTCTGGTTGTCGTGGTGTTGTGGAGCAGGCATGGCTAGATGGCCAGGGGGAGGGTTTGCTAAATAATCTACAGTTGTGCAAAGATCGGTTACAGGCCTGGGGAGGAGACCGCTTTCATATGTTTTGAAAGCAGTTGAAACTACTGCATGGCAAGCTAATGAGTCTTAAAGGAGGCAGATGTCCAGCGGTTTTAGACGAGTACAATACAATCCGTGCTCAGTTGACTCGTCTAGAAGTGCAGGAGGATTTCTATTGGCGGCAGAGGGCAAAACAGCATTGGCTGCGAGGGGCGGATGCCAACACCAAGTTCTATCATAGGTATGCTTCATCTTGTAAGCGAAAAAATTTCCTCTCTAGATTAAAAGGGGTGGATGGAAACTGGGTTACTAAGGGTGCTATGAATGCTGTTGTTATTGATTATTTTGTTGATATTTTTAAGTCGTCTAATGCCCCATCCCATAGTAACTTTTCTGATACGATACCCTCTCGTGTCACTGAATTGCAAAATGAGTCTTTATTGAAACCTTTTGGGGTGGAGGAGGTAAAGGAGGCATTATTTGCCATGTTCCCGGATAAGGCGCCTGGACCGGATGGGATGAACCCGGGTTTCTATCAGCACTTCTGGAGGGGTTTCTATCAGCACTTCTGGAGTGTTGTGGAGCCTGAAGTGACAGTGTTTGCTTAATTGTCTTAATTCGGGTGTTTTCCCGGAGGGGTTAAATGATTCTAATGTTGTGCTAATCCCGAAGAAGAAAGTCCCCGAGTATCCTGCGGATTTGAGACCAATTGCGTTAAGTAATGTGGTCTATAAAATTATGGCCAAAATGATTGCGAATAGGATGAAGCCGTTTATGGATACTATTATTTCAGAATCTCAAAGTGCATTCATTCCGGACAGGTTGATAACTGATAATATCTTAATTGCTGCTGAGGTGGGTCATTTTCTGAATAGAAAGCAGTGTGGAAAGGCAGGTTGGGGAGCCCTAAAGCTGGATATGGTAAAAGCATATGACAAGATGGAATGGACTTTCTTGAAACAGATGATGAGAGCGCTAGGCTTTGCGGAGAGATGGGTAAATTTGATCATGTTGTGTGTTACTACTGTTTCATATAACATTCTTATAAATGGTGCAGTTGGAGGGGTTGTGGTACCTACACGAGGCCTCAGACAAGGAGATCCTCTGTCTCCTTATCTGTTTATTATTTGCGCAGAAGGGCTGTCTATGATGTTGCAGCAGGCACAGTCTTTGGGCGCTATCCACGGCTGTAGAGTAGCAAGAGGAGCTCCGGCTATTTCCCACTTATTTTTTGCAGATGATAGCCTTTTATTCTTTAAGATAAATGCCCAGGAGGGGAGTGCAATTAAGCGTTGTTTGGAGCACTATGAGAAGCTGTCTGGCCAGTCCATAAATTATCATAAGTCCAGTATTTGCTTTAGTAAAAATACGACAGAGGAGATAAGGGAGGAAGTGGGCGCGGTTTTGGGGGTTGCCCAGGCGGTTGATTTCGGAAAATATTTGGGGCTGCCGTCGTTTATTGGAAGGAATAAGAAACAGGTTTTTGCTTTCATTGAGGAAAAAATTCGGCAAAGGGTGGGATCATGGAATAAGAAGTTATTGTCACAAGCAGGCAAGGAGATTCTGTTGAAAACGGTAGCTTAGGCTATGCCTACCTTTTCAATGAGTGTCTTTTTGCTAACTGACTCCCTTTGTATGGCAATTCAGAGGACAATGAATAGGTACTATTGGAATAAGGGGGGCGCAGGTGGAGGAGGAATTCATTGGATGGCTTGGGATCGTCTCAGTAAGCCGAAAACTGCTGGGGGCCTAGGTTTTAAGGATCTAAAGGCTTTTAACCTAGCAATGTTGGGGAAGAAGGCATGGCGTTTCCTTACAAAACCAGAGTCTTTAGTTGCAAAAGTATATAAAGCAAGGTACTTTCCTAAGACTAATTTTATAGATGCCACTGTGGGAAATAGCCCTAGCTATTGTTGGAGAAATATTATGGCTGCCCATGGCCTAGTATGTGGAGGGATAAGGAGGAGGATTGGGAATGGAGAGACAATAATGATAGGGAAGGATCCTTGGCTTTTGGACTTGGATTATAAGATTCATACTGGTTTGCCACATAATATTTATGAGTCAGGGGTGTCAGGTTTGATTGACCAGGATACTCGTTCATGGGACCTGGATATCTTAAATGATATTTTTGACCCACATGATGTAAATCGTATTCGCAGGGTGCCTGTTTGCCCGGATTATGAGGATTCGTGGTATTGGTATAAGGAGCAAAATGGATCATATTCTATCAAAAGCGCGTACCGATCGGTTGTGGGAGAAATACAAAATAATACTGGCTTTGACAAATGGACAGCATTATGGAAATTGGATGTGCCACCAAGGTGGAAAACCTTCTTATGGAGAGCGTTAAGTGGTATCTTGCCAACCACAACAGCCTTGGCTAATAAGAGAGTTTATGTGAACCTAGCATGCCCTATGTGTCTAGACTTTAATGAGGATGTTATGCATTGTTTGTTAGAATGCCAATATGCTTGTCGTGTGTGGAATGAGTCCTGTCTTGCTATAACCCCTGTGTTTGGTGGATCGTTTGTTGAGTGGTTTCAGAATGCAATGACTGTGCTAACGATGGATATTCTTATTCAAGTTGTTGCAGTCTTCTATCATCTATGGAATGCACGAAACACGGCGGTATGGGAGGAGTGCATGTGGACACCGAGACGTTTGTGGTCTTGCGCCAAGGCTGCTCTTACGGCCTGGACCACTGCTCGGCCATGGACAGCAGCATCGGTACAGCAGCAACATCACGACGTCACACCAGGAGGTCCGCAATGTTACGTCGATGCGGCTTGGAATCCAGCGACACGAATTGCAGCGTATGGCGCGGTAATTGTGGACGGGCAGAAGGCCTTTGTGGCAGCAACAAGTGGCCAGCTGCCGTTTTGTGAGAATGCTATCACGGCAGAGGCGCTGGCTTGTAAGGAGGCGTTGTCTTGGTTAAAGGATCGGCATGAAACAGAGGTTACCCTATTCACAGATTTTTCGGTCTTACAATCCTATCTATCCAGAGTTGGCTCGCAACCTAGATCATATGTTGGAATTGTTGTCCATGAGTGTTGGGTGATTATGACACAGCTTCCAACATGTCAGTTACGTTTTATTCCTAGACATTTAAACATTATTGCTCATACTCTAGCTTCAAAGGTCTCTGACCAGGATATTACTATGTTTTGGGACGATGTCCCTCCTAATTTTATTATTTCACATTTCCAGTAATAAAATTTCACAACTTTTCTTTCAAAAAAAATATTGTATCTTTAGTCTCTCAATTATAGTCCATGTAGTAGTTATTTTTATCATAAATCATTTAGTGTTAGCAAATTTGGCGTCTTTAATAATCACTAAAAATGATCAGTTTAATTTCGATCTCACTTTAAACTAATTACTTCAAAACAATTACAATGAAAAAGGCTAAATTGATAGGCATGCCCTTAATAAATTGAATAAAATTCAATTACTAACCATATAGTTGTATATGTTGAGTCATTAATGTGCAATCCAACTATCAATTTAGGCTTTTAGTTGAGATGGAGCACATGCTTTAATTTGGTATCAAAGCCAGATCAAAGGTCATGAGTTCGAATCTCACTGCCACGCATAAGCGACTACGGTGTCATTAATGTGCAATCCAACTATTTTGTAAAAATTGTGCATCACTAAGGGCCCGTTTACTAACTGAAATTTTTTTCAATTTTCTGGAGAATTGGAGAATATTTAAAAAAAAAAAAAAAAAGAATTAGAGAATAGAAAACATAAAACATGTTTACTAACACAATTTTTCATTTTGAAAACTGAAAATATTTTACAGTTTTCTAAAAAAATGGAGAACTTTTAAAAACTATTTTTTAAATGGAAAATAGAATCATCTATGATCTATTTGGTTATATATATCACTATAACCGCATTCTCACTATTATCTACTTACATATTTATTCATTACTATGATTATATTCATTATCATATTCTTTTACCTATCACGGTCTTCTATTTTTTCTACTTGCATTTACTTTTTTTTTTAAATATAACATATTTTTTTTACGCTTAAAGTTAGACATTATTCACATTATCAAAATTAAAACTTGAACTCTACTCCAAGTTTGATCCGTAAATTTTTAATTATGTTATATCGTAAATCAAGTTTGGTCCGGATATCGGATATTAAAATTTCACATATATTGGACGTCAAAGTAAAAATTTTATGTGTGTGTGCATCATTCAAATGAATATATCTAAAAATATTTTAAACATTAGTTCAAAAAAATATTAATATTATCTAAACTAAATTTTACATAAAGTTTATTGGTTATTCGATTGGATATATTTTTAGTTATGTTATATACTATATTACTATCAAACATGCAAAATACATCCACCAAAACACATACCATTATCAAGTACGAGTATTTGATTTTGATTCCGATTCACATTTCCATGAATGAACCAAACACACCGTACCCAAGCATATAAATTGCATATATGCGTGAGATAGACACAACTGGAAATTATGAAATTTCCGACAACCTGAAAGTAATCTTAAATCAAGTCAAAAGCAAAAAGTGATCGGAAATAGCAACAAATCTTTTTTCGGATACTAAAAATGATCGGAACAAGACTTTCGATTTGATTTAAGTTCACTTTCATCACGTGGTCGAAAATTTCATAATTTCCAGTAGTGAAATGATATATATATATATATATATATATATATATATATATATATATATAATTCTCTGATCCTTTCGATCCCAAGTTAAGTTAACATGAAATTAAAGCAACAAGGTGGGAGTGTTATCATAGGCACTACTATCCCTCTATATATCTCCTTCCCGATTAATTATTATAATCCCATCCGCCTGATGATGAGTGTACATCTAATATATGTGATATGATTGATCTCATCTATCTCATATTAACTAAGGGTGTGTTTGATTCGCACATAAGAATCAGAATCGGAATGGGTATCAAATACTTGGTAATGGTAATGGTAATGGGTTTTGGTGAAAGTATTTAATATGTTTGATAGTAGGGTGGAACGAGAATGGTTACTAATAGTAGTGCTTGAGAATGAATAAGGGAATGAAACCCTTATTGTATTTGTGTATGGGTTTTTCTATTGATGGGGTATTCAAAACCCATAGTAGTGTTCTAAAAACCTATCAACCAAACAACAACAATCAGTTTCATACCCATTCCTATGGGCAAAACCCACCAACCAAACACACCCTAAGTATTTATAGTGGTTAAACAAACCAAAATTATATTGATTGATAAACTAACAATGGCCATATTTGGTAAAATAGTTAGCCTATAGGTCAATTTTGGCTTATTTGATCAATATTAGTTGTTTGATTTGGTTTAAAAAATCAATATAAGTGTTTGGTTAATTAGTTTTTTGTACTCCAAAATGCTAAAATTCAAAAAAGCTACTCAAAGCAACTTTTTCAATTAACTTTTTGAAAAGGAAATTATACCAAACAGCTAACAGCTAATTTACCAAACATCTTTCTACAATCCGCTAATGTTATCAGCTAGTTATACCCTCTAATTAACCAAATCAGCTAACAGCTAACAACTATCAATCGTTTACCAAACAGGGTCATATATGTTATGAAATAGGGCCAGCCTACGTGGTAAATAAAAGGTTAGTGATTGCCACCTACTCATTTGCAAAGGATTGAACATACACTTGTAAGAGTGCTGCAAACATGCACCATATATTGCATGCCCCCAATTAAGTTTAATTTGAACACTTGTACAGTGCTATATATGCTAGCTTCCAGCAAAGCCCCCAAGTTTGTTCTTTTGTTTTGATGAGACAAATCTGCATGCATGTAGGTTTTGTGAAAAAAAAAAAAAAAAAACTGATTATATTGCCACCTACTCATTTGCATGCAAATTAAAGAATACGTGTAAGAGTAGCGAGTACGCCACTACTATACATTTTACATACATGCAATGCAGGTGGCTAGCTGGTCCCCAATTAAGCTTAGCCTATAAATTGCATATATGGCTGTGATAGATCGATGAGAGCTAGAGATCAAACAAACATATTAAGATGAAAAGCAGCAGCGAGGTGGGAGTGCTATTATTGGCACTAACAGTACTATTGTCCCTCTATCACCCAACTCATTCCTTTACTTATAATCCCATCCGCCTTCCCACCGATGATGATGCCGGCACGGCGGTGCTGGACGCCGACGGCGACCCCTTGAAGCCCGGCACACTTTACAAAATAACCGCCCCGGGTTACGGAGATGTGATACTTGGTCATGCGTTTCCAGTTGGTTTGCAGGAGAGGGGGTCGCTGCCGGGATGCCCAACCGAGGTATTGCTCGTATCCAACCCAGAGGATAACGTCAGATCCGTTAAGTTTATTCCCGAGGACGCCACCGCCACCTCCATCTTGGAGTCCACTCGCCTGGCCGTCAGATTCGACTCTCCCGTGTGTGTAGATTTTTCAAATTGGCACATTTCTGCCGGCTATGATCCTTCTTTTGTCACGACGACTCAACCCAGTTTCTCCTACAACTTCATGATTCACAAAAGTGCTAAGGATAACCATTACCAACTTGCTTTCTGTCCCTCCGACTCCACCATGTGCTACACCGTTGGCACACTCTGCACCCAAACCGGGTGCCCCCTTGGGATTGCGCATTTGGCTATTAGTTATCTTCCCATAAGTGTTCAGTTTCTCAAAGGTAATTAAAAAATTAATAATGCTAACCCGGCTCGCCTGCTCTTTAAGCAGGCGGGCATTCGCTAGTCCCTACCTAGCTAGCTACGTTTAATAGTAATAATAATAATGTACTCCGATCCTCCCAAATGCTCTGTCGTTGGATCGAAGTGTAGGAATCCTTAGGGTTAAGGTTTAACCGTTTGGAAGAATAATAATAATGGACGTACTTATACGTACGTGCCGTGTATCTGTGTATGTAAGAATAAACATGCTGTGGGCCCGCCCCAAGTTGTTAGTCAGCATGCATCTAAAGTAGCCGTGCATGTGTTTGATCGAATTGAATAAACGTAACTGATTATGGTTCTGTTTGGTAATATAATTAGTTTATTGGGTAATTTTGACTTATTTAACCACTATTAATTGTTTGATTTTATTTAAAAATTAATATAAGTGTTTGGTTAATTAATTTTTTTATTTCAAAATGTTAAAATTCAAAAAGCTACTTAAAGTAACTTTTTCAATTAACTTTTTGAGATAAAAAAAAAATTATACCAAACAGTTATCAGTTAACAGCTAATTTACTAAATACATTTCTACAATCAGCTAATATTATCAACTAGTTATATATACCTTCTAATCTACGCGTATAGTAAGATCCAGTACGTTTAGGCCACCACAGCCCCCAGCAAGCTCCTTAGTTCTAAATTGTTTAGTTTTTTCATTCATGTACAGTTTATCATATAATATAAGGGTCTCACGAATCACAGAACCGACCCGTCTCACACAAGTTTTTGCCATAATATAATCTTATATATTATATTATAATATATACTCATTTAATTGCCACCGCTTGCATCTTGAACCTCAGTAGTAGGGATCGCAAGACATTTCGCAATAATTTTTTTTTTTATCACCAGATTGATCTTTTCTCCTTTTGCATTAACAGAGCCACTATAGGAGTACTGTAGCAGTAAGAAAATTGCAGTTTAGAGTATTTTCATACTTGTTTCTGTTAGGAACATATGTTTTAGGATTTTGATGATACCAATGTAACTTAGATTGTAGACCCCTAACTTTTTATCATTTCTTTTGCTACCTTCGTCTTAGACGAAAGGTGCCATAACTCACCATGTAATTCGTGTTAAGATAGTCAAACACACGAAATTGAGTTATGTTTCTCTAGTTAGGTCTACGTGAACGAAAGAAGATCGAAGGTTTGAAGCAAAAGCTACATCAGCAAGAAAGACCACCTCCCGGATCTTCAACAAATGGAGAGATGCTAATCTTTAGGACGAAAGGAAACGTCCGTGAAAAGACGTTAATCAGACTGCCAAGACAATCCATCTTCTCATAATTCAAGGAGAATGTTGTTTTTGTCTCAGCTGATGAATCATCCTAGGAACAAGACGTTCCAAGGACAAAGAGCACACAAATCGAGGTGCATTAAATGTCACGGTACCTCTTTTCAGAGCTAGAAGACAAAACTTGCAGAAGTTCTTGCCTCCAACGACTATATGGTACAACCGCATTTAATGAAGTAATAAATGCACCAAGCTCTCCAGTTTTTACCCACTGGTTCATAGGTTTGAAATACTCATCTTCTCCAACGGATGGATATTTCCTCTTCTATAAATACTCATCTTCTCCATTATAGAAAGTGCTGGTTTTTATTACAACTGACCATACACATCCAAAAGCTCCTTATACAAGTTCACTCTCTCAAGCTTTTGAAAACCAGTGTTTCAAGGTGTGAAGTTTACAAGAAGAACTATCAGATTTCACCTTCTCAACCTTGAAGAAGTCTTGCATCTTATATACGTTGATCATCCAACATCCAACCAGCCAGCCAAGACTTCAACTTGTTAGAGAAACACGCAAATCTTTTCTACCAACCCTCAACTCTGAAGAAGACGTTGATAGAGGAGGCGGAGTAAACTCTAGGAGTTGAAAAACCTACAAAAAGTTGCCCGGCTTAGTGATCAAAGAAGCTAGCTTGGTTTAGTTTGTACTAGGAGTGATAGTGCAAACCTTTCACGAGTTGTGAAAGAAGAGTGGAGTAGGCACAGTTGGCCAAACCACTATAAAAATCTCTTGTCCCTATCTCTTTACTTTCTGCCTGCTTTACTTTCGTGCATTGCATATCATTCTCTATCACAACCGAAAGTTCTCATAAAGCAACAAACAGTGCAAAGTAATATAAAACTCGTTTAACTATTCCGCTGCGTGATAACCCCGAAAGGAGTTATTTTTGAAAAATCGATTTGAGTCTATTCACCCCCCTCCTAGACTCTCCTTTCGACCCTACCGGGACCAACAGTTTCATTCGAGGGTTGAAACTCAACTTAGGGTTCTTTATCTAGTGAGATGTTTTGTGTGTGAGTGTTGATGGTTTATGCAGAACCTTGTCAATACTTGTCTAGTATGGAATTTTAGCAACCGAATGGGCAATGAGTTCACGGGTTATCACTTATCAGTTATTACACCCCTAGACTCGTCCCTCAACCGTCACTATTCCTTATACCACATCTCACGACGTTCAGATTCACTTACGAGAGTGGAGAATGTTGAAGGTCTAGACTACTCGTGCTTAATGAGGGAGATTGGTAGCGTCAGGAGAGTGGGACAATCCCCGTTTACCGAATTGGCCTAGCATTGAATCACGAGAGTGGCATGTTAGTCAACTAATTTGGAGTTTGGTTGTCTTGAAGCCAATGGTGAAGTTTCTTAGCCCTCAATCTTTTGACTCATGGCATCAGACTAATAAATACATACACATTCCAATCCCTATCTTTTTATTATCATTTTTATCTCTTTGTTTCCATTCCTATGCTTATCATATCTGATCTCCTTCATGTTGTTATTATTTGCTTAGCTTCCACAAATCGTTTAGTGCTTGTGTCTAGATCTTCTTTGGCTAAACCAACCCCAAATCCTTTATGACGATAAAAAAAATTGTTTTTATTTGTTTCGAATACCACTATACTTGTTCAGAACTGATGGTTTTAATGAAATCGAGGTCCACCATAAATCGAGTACACAACGCGAATTAAACGAGGCACCGAGCCCAGAACAATGTAACATTGGAGAGATATATGACGTAACTAGATTACTAAATAATGAAATAGACACAAGCTAATATCGATACTCGAAGTCGAACTCTGGCTCCACCAGTGAAGAGAGAAAGGCTTCTACCATCCAGCTATCTAGTCTCTTTCGTCCTTTTTCTCGCCCCCTCAACGAATCACGACCCCCCCCCCCCCCCCTTATATACTGTGAAGGCACCCCTCTGGACCAGCCACGTGTGGGGCATCGGTGTTCCTCGTTCTGCGTCACACACGTGCCACCCCCACCGCACGCCCCGGTCGCATCTTACGTGCCCACTTTCCTTCCCCTCCTTTCGCGCTGCCCACGCCGCTTCGTGCGCCCACGATGGTCCTTGGACGCGCGTTCCCGCTTCTCCCGTGCCCCCTGCATGTGACCAACGTCCCCTTGCCTCCATACACATACGTTAGCCGCCACCCTGCGTACGTCCCTGCATGCGGTAGCCGCCACTCTTCGTACATCCCATGCATGCCGTAGCCGCCACCCCACGTACGTCCCATGCATGTCGTAACTGCCACCCCACGTACGTCCCATGCATGCCGTAACCGCCACCCCACGTACGTCCCATGCATGCTGTAACCGCCACCCCGCACGTCCATGCACGTTGCAGCCGCCACCGCGCCTTGCATGCGGTTATCCTCCGTGCGCGCGGGCTACATGCAGCCATCCTCTGCGTGTGGACCGCATGCGACTATCCTCCATGCATGCAGGCTGGCTTGCGAGCCCATCCATCTACTCTTGGGTTCCCCCCTTGGGCCTATGGGCCAGGCCCAATCCGATATATTTCATCATAAGTCCCCCACTTCTATTAATTACTAATAAGTGATTAAAAGAAGTAAAACTTGTTCAAAATTGTCTTATGGTCTCTTTCGTCTTTTAACTTAATGATTCAGTTTATAATTCTTTACATGTTCAAAATGGCACTAAACGGTGCAGTATTAACAACAAGTCCTCAATGTTACTCTGCTCGAATTGAAGACTTCAAGAGTTGAAGACTTAAATATGTATGACCGAAGCTTACATGTAACACATAAGATTTTAATTTTTCACGATTCATTGTGCACAGTCAAAATTAGCTTCCAGCAGCAAAGCCCCCAAGTTTGTTTTATTGTTTTTAATGGTGTTAACCTTTTTAATTTCCCATTTGACCCTTATCTTTTTATTAATTCCTTTTGTATCCTTATTTTGTTTTTATGGATTTACATATTTTATTAAATACATAAATATAAATTTTGAATAATTAAAAATAAATTATACCGTTTGAAAGATCTCATCAAGACGATTAAAACAAGCCTAATATTATATATAGATTAATTAAAAATTAAAACATATAAAACATAATTTTCATAATACTAAACTGAATACATCCGAAATTAAAGAAAACATACTTAGAATTAATAGTCTCCAAGACCACCCCCATTTCCTCCCGGATTATCAAAATACTAATTAAATTGACTACTTGATTCAACCCCTCCTCTATGTGTTTGCTCATTAGCTCTCTTTGGAACAATTTGTAGTTGCTCATTCCTTATAGACTCACGCATCATAGGATCTGTGATAGAATCTAAATTTATGTGTAAGATTTTGTTCTCTTCTTGATGCTCTCTCTTCTCTTCTCGACGCTCTCTGTTCGCTTCTTGTTGTTCTACCAACTCTACTTTCCTTGCTTCAGTCCGAGCTTTTAACAACTAAACCTCGTAATTTTTTTCAAGTATATATATCTTGATGTTGTTGGAACATTTTTTTGATTTGCTCATTTTCTGTCTGGATGGATTTTAAAAATTCCTTACTTTCTTCATTATATTGAGTTGTTTCTTCTTTTTCTCCTTGTTCCTTCCCGTAGGACATTCGCTTGCATTGTTGTTTTCGTTAACTTGATCTGCACTTTCAAAATCGTCATTCAAGTCTACACAAAAAGATGATGAGCC